GCCAAGAGTTTCTTATTTATTGCTCTTTACAAATAATATTCTTTCTGTAGTCAACATCCTTATCTAAGTTGTTATCACAATTTATGAGTATTAGATGAGAACTCTATATCCTTAAATTAATATCAGAGGTTTCACTGAAGTCTGAAAAGAAATTATAAAAGATATTCCAAAGTGTACAGATGAACAGCGAGGGGGAAGGGAGGATGTATTGGGCAAGGTATGGAAGGAAGAGGCTTAGAGCTTCCATGCCATCTTTGCAAGCATCACCCTCTGGGAACTTTTACCTGTTTATCTATCTGGAAGGTCCTCTGAACCCTGTTCTTTGGGTTTTTGTGGAGACATCACTACATAAGCATGATTGTGTATATCACTGGACATTGGTGATCAAGGGAACCTTCAGCCCATCTCCTCTCATGGGAGGTTGGGGGCTGCAGCTAAAAGTTCTGACCCTGTAATCCAGCCTGGGTATTTCCAGTGACCAGCCCCCAGCCTGAAGCTATGTAGGGATCTCTGGCCACCATTTATCTCATTAACATACAAAAAGATACTGTCCCTCCAGAGATTTCAGGTGAGTTGTATGTCAGGAGGGAGTAGATGGCCACATATATTAATATTTCACATTATCACAACATGGATCAGTCAGCTCATTTACTTCAATCAAATCTATTCTTAGAGTTCTCTCCTCATATTGTGTGAAGATGAGAACATTCTCATTAGCCGCTTGATGAAATGTGTTTTTCATTTTAGGGACGGTTGACATTCAGGGATGTGGCCATAGAATTCTCTCTGGAGGAGTGGAAATGCTTGGACCCTGCTCGGAGGGCTTTATACAGGGACGTGATGTTGGAGAACTACAGGAACCTGGTCTCCCTGGGTGAGGATAACTTTCTTTTAGAAGTCAGGATGTCCTCTTGTATATCTTTGCATTTTTTCTTGTGAATCTGTGGTTAGCCCCTGCGTTGCTTCACTGAGATCGAAGCCCTATTGATTAAGAAATGAAAAGCTTTATAATAGAGTATCTGGACTTTAACTGCCCCCTTTCTTCAGATGTTCTCCCCTTTCATGATACATCATTGGATGGTTCCAGAGCTTATATATGCGTAAAACCTTGTGGCAGCTGTTTAAAGTATCCAATTTCCTGTTTTTTACTCCGTGCTTTGATTCATTGGTTCTTCAAAAACAACTAAATGTCTCCATGTTACAGTATTCCCTAAGCATTCAAAAGGAGGCATTCAGAGGATGAATTTATGATATATATTTATATATCCGTCTGGAATATCCTTTCTCCTTACCTAAACATAGGGCTGGGATTCTGGAAAAGCCGTGTTACCTTATATTCCTTTGTTTATATAAGCAGGAATTTCTCATTTTGACCTGAGTATTATCTCCACGTTGGAGCAAGGGGAAGAGCCCTGGACTGTGGAGAGCCAAGTGCAAATAGCAAGAAAATCCAATGGATGGAAATGGAACAAAGGTGTGATCACAGGTGAGTGCTCAGACGGATAGAGAGAAAGCTGCTCATTAAATAGTGTTTGGGAAACTCTGTGCAATTCTGAAGCTTCTGTGAGAAAACAAAAGTTTATGTCCTGTGAGCTCTGAAAGGAAATTTTTCCTTTCCTTCACTTCTCACTCTGTTCCTCAGATATGTAACACTTTATCCTTGTACCCTCCAGTGGTGCTTCAGCTCAAACAGAAACAGATGGAAAATCCTCATCATGGTGGACAACACTGTGTTATCTGACTGCATGAACTCTTTTGTTGTTGACACTGAGCAGCACAGGAAATGCTTTTCAGAAGGGTTGCTTTCCCCCTTGGTCTTTCCTTCTGCAGTTGATTCCATCTGATCCTAAGTTCTCAGTCCATGTTGATCAGAGCTGCAGCCTTCATAGTCCTGACGACTGGACCTCTGCATGTTCCATCCCATTTCATGTGCTTGGAAGACCCAGTCAGGAGATGGGAAACATTATCTGGTCTTCCTTTGCATCTGG